TGGATGTCTATTCTGTTCAAATGTATGTATCTGTATAATGGGTCTGTTTTATATGTTGTCTTCTCATTTCAGAGGACCCCTTGCCTGTCTTTGCCAAGGGCCCCACATTTCCTAAATCCACCCCTGGCTGATGATCCTCTACAGCCAACCCTTATGAAGTCTTCTTCCAGATCAGACACTGATGTTGGACTAATTAATGTTTTTTAAACTTTAAATTATTCCAAATGTGTTCTTATTGGCTGAGGTCCACTCATCCCAAACCCGTACAATGAACCTCTCAACACATCATTACTGAGCTAATCTAAAGGCCACATAAGGTTCGGGTGTCTGAAGGTGTAGCCTCCGCTGAAGGTTGGTGACCTCTTCATAACAACAGCATTACTAATATGTTTTATGTGGTTAATCACTTAGAGGCTCAGCTGCTGTTATCACCCTCACTTTATCATAATCCCACCAACAGATGACTGAGAAAGTAATGAATATCTGGTGGTTTTCTCTCAACATAATATTCACCTACTGCATCACAGATGTTTGTAGAAGCTGACTCACTACAGAGCACTGTAAAAAAATAATATAATTAGTCATTTCAGTAATGATGTTTACCAATGAGTTCACTGTGTGAATGAATTTTAGATTGTCCTCTGTAACTTAGAGCAAAATCTGCATCAACAGCTTCACTGTAGTTTTTCTAATCCATATAAAACCACAGAGGAAATGGACCCTGGACACTGAGGAGTGACAGAGAATACCCAGCAGCTCATCACAGGGCAAACATAGACAAACAATCCTCTATGCACACTCACTCACATTATCAATTTATTGGCACTCATTAACCAACTATTTACAGTTCAAATCAAACGGTTACATCCTGTAAAATAAAGTTTTCTGACTTCATCTTTCCTGTTTCAGAGGAGTTATAAAATACTATCCCCTAAAGCCCAGATCAATGAGAATAATTAAATGCCACATTTATTTGTTCAAATAAGTATGATCAGCGTGGGTATGTCTACATATTCTGGTCAGGAAAGAGGCATGTTTCTGTATAAATTGTGCATCAACTCCAGAAAAAACATAGTGATTGTGAAGATGCTTGATGGATCATAATCCACAGTGAAATAAATTTGTTTGGTGCTGCAGGAGGGACTAGTGAAAAACATAAAATCAGTGGATGAGTACAGAATGTTGTGTGAAGTAACTGAAAATAATTTAAGACATCAGCCAGAAAGTGAAGCCTTTTTGGGTCAAATGGGTCTTCCAAATGAGGATTAGTTCATTAAGTGTTTTTTTTTTTTAATATTGTTTAAAATGAGCGCCATTATCATTTTGTCAAGATAAATTATTACAATCACTGTAGAAAAGCTTAAGATTACTTTGGCTAACCAAAAGTTTGCTAACATTTACCCTATAGTCTATGAACATATAAAATTTAAAAAATGCTTCATTACCATCTGTTAGCACCAACCCAGTAAACGGCTCATTATGCTTGACACACAGACATTTAGTGCGAAAAATTAGCCGACCATCACAGCATCTTTCCTCCGTTTTAGCCGGGTTTTAGTTCAGCACAAACAGCCAACAATCCCACTACATGAGGAAGTAGAAAACAAAGCCATTTACAACTTTATCAAAGCCCCTTCATTCCCTCAGAGAGCCACGGGGATTACTTTCCTGGAGTTTTTTCCACAATCTGTTGATAGTGGTGATATTTATGAGCTAATTCACAGGCTTTCTATACATGTTTACATTTGCAAACCCTCGGCAGAAGGATCTGCTGCTTGCTCGCTGTGTTGTGCAAGATGATCCGACTGTGTAGTTACAAATTGCGCCTGGTACTCTGAGCAGAACTTTTGTCTATGCACAGTCGGCCCAGAGGGGTGAGGAAGCTTCCAGCATAAGCCAAGCTTAAGTGACAGGCACTGGTTTCCCATCTTCCCACTATAATTTATTCAAGTTGGTATTGTTTTTCCCAGATATGACATTAACTATTTGCAACATATTAGTCACTGAATAATATTAGTGAAATTCTCTTCCAGTTCAGATGAAATCAGCACGATGTAAATTAGTTCTAAGCTAAAACTATGTTAACATTTGCTCTGTATGTGTCTCAGTGAGACAATATGGTCCTTTTATCAGTCTGTTCTGTATGAACATCCATTTTCTGGCGTCCCTGGGTGGTCAGGAAGCCCAAAACCCTTTAAAGCAG